CGCCCAGAGCCACGGGAGCTACGCCCAGAGCCACGGGAGCTACGCCCGGAGCCACGGGAGTTATTTCACTTCGTCTCTCTGTCCTCTCTAAATGCAGCCAGTCGATGCAGACAGCTGCCTGTCCTGAACCTGGTTCTGCTGGAAGTTTCTTCCTGTTCAAAGGGAGTCATTCCTTCCCACTGTCACCAGTATGCTGCTCAGGGTGGCATGTGAGACAAAGATTCAACACAATCCGCTGCTTCCTCACACAAGTTTCACTGACTGTACCAAGACATTCACTCATAAAATGTGCAGTGTCCTGAGAACCTTGTTTACTGTTTGTTTACACTTCAAGTTTTGCTTCAGTTGGATGTAACTGGGACCCTGTGTACACAATTTAGTCCCACCTCATGTACCACATGTGGTGGGATGACAAAGAACCTTGACCTTGAGATGACGTTCGGTTTGATTTGAAGGTACAAAAAAACCTGAACTGAATTTAGTCAAACGTCTTGTGATATTTAGAACGTTTTAAATGTTTGGTGTTCTAGTTTCTTAAAATGAGACTAAACTTGAGTTTGAAATGTTTGTGGAGCTTTGATTTTATTAAAAACAAAGAAATAAAACTAAATGCATTTCAGTAGAAGGAGAAGAGCAGTCAGTCTGAGGTTCTTATAAAAGAGGAGGACAGTAAGAAGCTGCCGGTGAACAGATCACCAGACTTGAACAGTCAGGTCTGACGTGTTTCTAGTTCCAGAGACTAACTAGAACCTCCAGGATCCGTCGGAGCAGCACAAACACACGGAACAGGAACGCAGACGAATGTCAGGAATGTGAAACAGGTTTGGTTCGTCCCGTCTGTCTACGTGAAGATTTGTCTTGAACAGGTTGTAAAGAACCTCCTGAAACCGACGCTCAACTTCAACCCACTCATCAAAAGTCAAAGTTTTATTCTGTTTCAAAGTAACCCCGTGATGCGTGACGCAGCCGTTACGTCTCGAGTAACGTCACGGACGAATGTCGGATAAAGAACACGGCGACGCCCGGATGACTCGGCCGTTTTTAAACAGGACGTCATCACGAAGAGAAAACAGCTGAACAAGTTCATGTGAGACCAAAACAATGAGCTGGAAAACATCGAGTTCATCATCTGTACATTCATGTGTCCAAAAAAATCCAAGATGGCTACCACGGCTAATCACACTTCAACATCAAAACAACTACAACTCCATGAGTTCTACAGAAACTGAGGTCTAACGTGGCGTGGTGGTAGCTGAGAGTCGTCCCCAACACATACTCTGAGCTCATCTGTGGCGTCAACCCTGTCTGTTAGCAAAAAATCTCAAATCACTTGACGGATTATAATAAAACAGCCAGAGCTAATTAGCATTAGCACATAACTGGCTGTAACTCAGCTGGATTTACAAACAGCTTCAATTTGTGTGGTAGTAGCCGAGACTTGGAAACAACGGACCTTTAGGGAGATTTTTGAATGAGACTTGAGAAGCGGCGGGTGATATGCATTCCTTCAAAGACTTCTTAGGCAGCACAGAGAAAAATGTATTTTGTGCAGCGAAGACAAAACTTCATTTATTCACATGGATAAATACAAATATTATATAATATATATAATATAATATACATTATTTTAAGATTGATAATTAGGTTTTTTGTACCAGTCCATATCTGACACAAAGCGTGACGAAGACGTCAATTAAAAAATAAAATAAAAACTCAACAGGTTCAACTCCTCCAGTCGCCGCTCGTTGTCACAGATTCTGTTCATGGACAGAACTTCTCGGTGCAGCCAGGAGGTGGAGGGAGTCCAGTTCAGTGGCCTCAGGATCCATCTCTGCTCTTTGCAGATGATCTGGTCCTGTTGACGTCATCATGACGTGATCTCCAGCTCTCACTGGAGCGGTTCTCAACAGAGTGTGAAGCAGCTGGGATGAGAACCAGCAACTCCAAATCTGAGGCCATGGTCCTCAGACAGAGGTGGATTGTTGTCTTCAGGTCGAGGGTGAGGTTCTGCCTCAAGTGGAGGAGTTCAAGTATCTCTGGGTTTTGTTCCTGAGTGAGGGAAGAATGGAGCGTGAGATTGACAGATGGATTGGTGCAGCTTCTGCAGTATTGTAGACTCTGTGCCGGTCCATTGTGGTGAAGAGGGAGCTGAGCTGTAAGACAAAGCTCTCTGTTTACTGGTCGGTCTACGTTCCTCCCCTCACCTCTGGTCATGAACTCTGGTAGAGACTGAAAGAATGAGATCGTGGATCCAGGAGGTTGAGATGAGTTTCCTCTGCAGAGCTGGACTCTCCCTTAGAGACAGGGGAGAAGTTCAGTTATCAGGAGAGACTCAGAGGAGAACCACTGCTCCTCCACATCCAGAGGAGCCAGTTGAGGAGGTTCATCGGAGTCCGAGTTTCTTTATTGTCATTCGCACCACATGTGGTACATGTTGTTCATCTGGTAAAGATGCTCCCTGGGCGCCTCCCTAGGGAGGTGCTTCAAGCACGTCAGACTTGAAGGAGACCACAAGGTGTTCCCAGGCCAACCAAGAGAAGTCTGGGAACGTCTTGAGGTCGTTCCAGAAGAGCTGGAAGAGGCTGTGGACAGAGATATCTGGACCGCCCTGCTCAAGATGCTGCTCCGAGACCTGAGTCCAGAACAAGAGGAAGAGGATGGATGGATGGATGGATGGATGGATGGATGGATGGATGGATGGATGGATGGATGGATGGATGGATGGATGGATGGATGGA